GGTTGCCTGATGCAACATTCAATTCGTAGATATATCGGTTTAAAGTCGACGTGAGACGGAATTCGCAAGCTGCATGTGAAATCGAAACGAAATCACGATTGCATTAGACAATACTAGAGGAGCAGAGGATATGTATTTTTGAAGAAAAAAGAAAAAGAAAAAGAAACAAATGAATGGCATTCATCTGACCACGATTATCGATACCTGCAGAAGAGACACTCTAACGAACCATTGTTGTTAATTGTCCACAATTTTATCGGCGTTGTAAATCCTTTTTTTTAACCACCAGTCGTTGATACTGCCGACTGAATGGCTGACTTTACTTCGACGAATTCACTTGTACCCTCGTAACGTAATTAAGGAAGAAAGAACACTCTTAATACACAAACAGAGACACACACGTATATACCAAAAAGTTTAGGAAAGAAGTACTATATTTGTACAGACAGAGGAATTATACAATGACACTATCTAAATAGGAAAATTCTCGAGCGTTTTATTTGCTGATACATGTTACACGTACACTTGACAAAATTTAGGAATTTCACACCGTTGTGAAACGTAAACGTAAGTGGTATCCGTTTACCATATCAGTGCCGTTGATTAACGACGGTTTTTTATATTGTTCTTGTGCCCATTTCCTCTTGTATCTCGAGAGAATCGAAGATTTGTAAATGAAAAAGCGCGGCATACCCGTTAGCACCGTTGTACCAATATGAGATTTATTTAAAAATGAAAATGCATTAAACTATGTTACATTCTATTCTCTACGACGTTGTTATTGCATACTCTGCTTGTACGTTATTGTTATTCACTGTGTAACTTAATAGCTTGTTATACATATACGCACTTCACTTGTTTCACTTTCGAGCACTCTGGCGTTCGATGCACTATACGCACCAATGCACGTTTCAATGCACATTTCATGCACGCGCACACGATCGAAAGAAAGAGAAAGGGATGGAAATATAAGGCACCATATGAAATCGGCACAAGTATAATTAACGTTGGTCAATTCCTTTCCTTGTGATTTATCAAATTGATCCACAGTGATCTCACTAGCCCTATAACCTCGTTATCGTTAATTATTAATCTAAGTTAAAGCAAGAAGAACAACAACAAAATCCGACGTCTTCCAAACGAGAAAGAGAGAGAGAGAGAGAGAGAGGAAAAAAAAATCAGAGTGTTAATTATCGAGATTTAATAAGACGCCTCGCGGCTCGCGAGCGCAACTATCCTTATAAATTGTATGTAATTAAGCAAAGACAAATGATGAAAAAGTAAACGAGAAAATACATTTATATATATATGTA